TTTTTTAGTTTTTATTTGATTCGATTTCCAGGTAACAATGAAGCAAAAACATTATAAAGAGAATACAACACCATGATGATTACCATAAGTACAAGCACTATTAAAGCGGCTCCCCATATTGCATCTTTACGTATACTAAATCTAAACATAATAACCTGCTCAAGGTTCAATATAAAAAATGAAATGCTAAAAAGTTATCGTAAAAAATTCAGTAGAAACGAAAACAATAACATATTTTAGAATCGTCAACAGAATAAAATATCATTTATACATTAAAACTGCTGAATATTCAAGCGAAGAGCCGAAATAAATTTAAAACTGTATATTGATTGTTATCTTATAGGAAGAGATTCCCAAATTCGAGAAATATTAATAAATAATGAATATGTTGGTTCTGGCAAATTTGTGTTTTAAAATGACGGAATCTTAATATCGGGAATTAAAATGTATAAAATCATGTGTATTAAACTCATTTCGGCCGTAAAATACACATGAAGATAAAAAGTATGTTAAGATATTTCATTCTCTGATCCATAGTTGCTAAAATAAGTTGCTTAAGGTGGTCGCTCAAAATCACCCTTCATAAAGTTTAGTAATTCTACGCAATGATTTAATTATTGAAGTTATATGCTGTTTTTGGTGTGGTACACGCAGGAGCAGCATACTCGAGTATATGTCTACATACACCTTTAAAGGATTGTAGGAGGATTTTAGGATCACTATGTGCTAACAAATGCTTAATAAAACCAACAATCTGAAGTGATTTAGTGGTAACTTATAAGACATGACCAGGAAAGACCACTGGCAAAGTGAATGCCGAGGTGTTTGTATGAAGAAACCGATTGAAGTTCAGTATATAAATGGATAGATATGATAAACGTTATGATTAATATTTCTTTTACGGCTGACGTGTAGCTCTATGCAATTAGAGCATTTACTTTCATTTTGTTATTTTCACACCAATCTGCTATATTATCAAAGTCTTTTTGAAGTAAAATACTATCCTCGACGCATTTAATAGATCTAAAAGCAACGGTGTCAATTAGCATATTGCTTAATTCGTGAATTGACAGTCAAAGTAAGATCAAAGACGAATGTATTAAATAGAAGTGGGCCTAGGACCGAGCCTTGGAGTACACCCGAAACAACACTCTTCCGTTCAGAGATAGATCTGTCCATTAAGTATAACTTACTGTGCCCGGTCATACATAAAAGATCCAACCCCGTTCAAGAAAGGGCCGCATAATTAAAAATTATGGAGCTTACGAAGGAATTTTGGGTGGCTAACACGATGGCTAACACGGTATTAACCTAGTATTGGAAAGAAGTATTTTTTTCAGTAGACGATTCTTATCCCCGATAAGACAGTATAATACAAATATCAAAATGCACGCCATCGTGTCGGGATTCAATATTTCGACATTAATTATGTCATTATCAGGAATTCTTACCCCTATTCACACTGATATATTTAGAAATAATAAGTTTATACATCTTACAATTCAGCTTGTAAAATGTAATCTTTGACCAATCTTAACACAGTCGACTTATATTGTAAGAGAGGATTGAGACAATAACTTGCTCCACAATAGTATTTATTGGCTTGGATATGGTCATACACAACCTGCTACTGTACTTCGTCCGTAAATTCCGATTAAAAAAAAAATAAGGTAAGTAATAATATTGGAATATAATTTCGAAGACAGTTATTGTACATCTCGTCGAACTTCCGGGCCTGCGAATGTTTTGGAAGCCGGAACCCGAATGGGGATAATAATCGTCTACTAATAGAATATTTACCAGTACAAAATATACATTATACCTTGAACTTCGTAGTTCAGGCTTCATAAACCTTCTCAGGCACGGAAGTTCGACGAGATGTACAACAACTTTAAAAAAAAAAAAATTATATTTCAGAGCTATCTGAACATAATCCTGATATATTCAGAAATAATAAGTACATCCTACTTTTGTAAATCCTGACTCAGTCGACGTATATTCTAAGAGGGGATTGAGACAATAACTCACTCCACAATAGAATCTGCTGTAAGCATGACTAAGTTGTCAGTTGAATTGATGCAATTGAAAAATAGTGGCTTACCTGAGAATAAATATTTCGAATATTTCATAATTTTAACATTTCCAAAATACAAAATTAGATAGGACTATACTAAACTACAAACAGCTTAGTCACAATACCCCACTTCCATACAGTGGCGTCACGGAGTTTGACTGTTACTGGGGGCCCTAATAAGCGAGCGAAGAGAGTGTTAAGTTTGCGAGCGGAGTGAACAAACCGACGCTGGGGCCCAGGGGGCTGGTAGGGTATAAGCTTTCCCCAAATGAGTATATTGCATTTTTTTTTATAGCTGTATTATGTTTTTATGTGTTTTGGCAATATGGAAATGAGGCTATTCAAATATATATTATTGTATATCCTTTTATTTTTGCTTATTGTATTTTATCTTTGTAGGACCATATTATTGTAAAAGAGCGTTAACATCTCATCTTTATAATTATGTTGTTCGGTATAAATATGTCTTAATAAATAAATAAATGATACTTTAAAAATTTCTTAACCATTGTTGATATCTATTTTCGTATTCATTTAACACCTGTTCAATATAAAACCAATATTCATTTACACCTTTGCAGTGAAAAACAGGTATGTGCCCCTATAAGCCTATATTCTTCTGTTTTACCACGAAGCGTACAGTATTATAATACCGACATACTGTACCGATTAAAGTATTTATTGGTATATTTTGTTAGTCATTAAAATAGCATGACAAGTTCTTTTTGACGTATTGATTCGCTACATTATTTTCCAAATTCTAACCACAGTTAATAATAATATCATCAAAGCCAAGGACGTTTTGTCAGTACAGAATACAGTAAATGCTCCGAGAAGAGGCGCCACGGCGCTTATACAATTTTTAAAATATATATTGGCATGGCGTTTTCCATGCCAGTTCCCATATTACCTATCTCACGTATTCCCGTAGTTCGGCAAGCCTATCGTAGGTCCTACGTCATCGTAAATAAACGTTTATAATGAAATTCTTGTGTCTTAATTGTGTTATTTATTCATTTTAGAATGTATTCTTTGTATTTAAAACGCTAATTTTCACAGGGTAATACTTATATACTCTAAGTTAAGTGCCGCGGCGCGGTGATTATACGAGTGCGGCTCTTATTCGAGCATTCACGGTATACCTTGTACCTTGTACTTGTGTAGTTCCATTTTCCAAACCTTCACAGGGATAGTTGAAAGTTCGACGAGAATGAATTGTTAATGTTAATTTTATTTACTGCACCCCATGGAATTATTTTCCAATATTACTGTTTATTTTATATAAAGAATAAAGTTTAGATCATATTAACATATTTTTTTAAAAATCATCTGTGTGAATTATTATTTAATTTTATATAGGGTCTACTGTATTTTGATTGTAATGTTGCACGTTGTGTACGGGTCGAACATCTCCTGCTCGAGAGTGTTCCACTATTATAAAAGAGAGAACCAATAAGTCTTATAAATAAATCTTGCTAATTCACCAGCCAGGTTATCATTACATTTTGTTTTCTTTCAGTGGCTGCGCCATAGATTCTCCAACGACAGGTCCAAATTCCACAGGGTGACCAATCTTCCTGACAAGACCCAGAACCATGACCGAGGATTCACACACACCTCAGCCCCATGGCCATAGCTAATCAAACTTTTAACTGGGTTGAGAACATTTTCAAAATAGGCACCTTTCATACAATATAAATGATTTTTCAAAGCTGTGTTCCTCGACGATTTGACTTCTTCTCCGATGAGGGTCCGTAACTCCCTGAAGGGGTGTTTTGTTCCGTTGACAACCCCTGACACCGAAATTATTGGTCATTTTACATATTTTTGCTTTAATAAACTTATACCGTAAAACCTCGAACTGAAGCTATGGGCTTCGTTTTTTTGCGATAGGCTTCATTTCGAGATGGGCTTCTTTTCGGGTTTACTTTCACAAAATAAGGAGGGGATTTCTTTTCAAAATGAATGATGTAAATTTTGGGAATTTGGTAATTATAAAACAATAAAAAAGGTCACTAGCATCAAAATGTATCATGGAGTGTAATAACTGGCATTAAATCACATGAACTACTGTATGAACCAAGCTTGTATTTAATTATTATTATTATATTTAATTCATGTACAGTGTTTGTACCGTACAATTTTGAAAAGAAGCCTATGTAATCTTGAAAAGAAGCCCATGAGATGGGCTTTTTTTCGAGGCTAATTTTGCAAACTAAAGTGGGGGGAGGGGGGCGGGGCTTCAATTTGAGATGGGCTTCTTCTCGCGATTAAGCACATTGGGCTTCAGTTTGAGGTTTTACGGTATATCAAGTGTTATGCCAATCAGCATATAGAGACATTTTCGTGTATCATGCAAATGCAAAAACCACACACGTTACTTCAACATTACTAATAACCCTCCATGTAAAATGTTCACTATAAACTATAAAGTTAGCTGGATGAAATTTTGAAGAGTTGGATTTGTTACATGTCTGTATGAATAAGTGAAAACTGATTTTTCTTTTTATCTGTCTCACTAAAAGGTAATAACTAATTTTGTGCATTTAAAACGGTTTAAGGTTTAAATTGAAAGTTTGAATATTTTTTTTCGGATTTTTATCACAGACAGTACCGTACTTATAACTTTTAAGCAAATTAGGAACAATAATTCTTGTGCTATACGTCAGTGATTTGAAATCCACTAAATACCATGAAATTAATGATAATAATAATTATAATACAGGGATTTGTAATTCTTGAAATCTACTAAATACCATGAAATAGTAGTAGTAATAATAATAGTAATGGATTTGTAAGGCGCCTTGTACCTAGGGATACAAGGTGCTGCATTGTATCTGATTGGAAGATTAATCTTCAAATGACCATGAACTAGTTTTTGTTTGTGTTATATAAACACATCTTAATATTTAACTTTTAGTTAGAAGAAGCGCTCATGTCAAAACGTAACGGTAGTCGGTGTTTCGTAGGCCTATCATATCGGTGAGTCAAAACTTCATCTTAAACATTGTTCATTAATCCATAGTATTTGGTGTCTTATAGAATTCCGTTAAAGACCGGTAGATACCAAGGTTTATGGTTGAACATGAGATTTGTTTAAATGAATTTTCGTAACACATCTAAATATAATTTTCTGTGTTGTGACAGACTTTAGCACTGATTTCTAGGAGACAAGTGATAATCAGTAGTAAAAACTATGCGGGACTATGCCACCTGTTGGTGCGTTTCTTTTTTGGTCAAAAAAAAAATAACAGCATTCGGTGGTATATTAATTAATAGGAAAACAGGGTGGGGAAATGTCCTGAACAATTATCCCTTGTCACGGTATAAACAACTCAAGGATTAGTTTGTTACAGCATTTTTGTAGTGTTCTATCCATAACGATCAGATTAATCAGTTTTAGTCTAGATCTACCAAACCTTATCCTAAAGTTTATTCTTGACCTTATTTCTCATGAGAAATATAGCTTGTAATAAACCGTCCTTAAACTAAGGAGGAGTAAATTTAAACCAAATGAGTTCAATTAGAATAATTAAATGTTTGTAACAACCATATACATACATAGGCATGTTGTTAAATTGTATAAATTAATATTATCGTCAAGTAGTTTTTAATATGTGAAAATATAATAAAACTGGACACTACAATATTGCATTCTTTATACTGATTGAATAAAAAGTATACAATAATAAATCAGCACACGAAATTTAATTAAAACAATTTCTACTCCAGTATTAGTTAGGACTATTTTAGCATTCAAATATATAGTTATAAAGGTATATGCATCCACAATTACAAATCTGTGTAAGAAATAACCCAGCTTAATGTAAATATTCGCTTTTTACCCGAAGGTGGCAGACCGGGTGGCAACTGGCCTGGGTGACAACAGGCTTATGGTGGCAAATGACCGGGTGTCATCGGGCCGGGTGGCAATTAAAGGCCGGGTGGCAAATGACCAGGTGGCAACAGGCCAGGGTGGCAATGGGGCTAGGGTGCAAAAGGCTGGGAGGCAAAAGGCTGGGTGGTAAAAGGCCGGGTGGTAACGGGCCTAGGGTGGAAATTTCCAGGAGACTCAATCCCGAAACTCTGCAGGACCTTTGGGTCTTAGATTTTTGTATTTAAAGAAAAATAGAAATCATACTTTAAATTCCCGTAGCGTTTTGCGTCAGGAGAAATAATACGAATCGATGTTTACCCTACATGAAATGTTATAGGCCTGGTACTGAATGCTCAGCAGATACGTTCCGCAATGTTTGCGAAAGATATCTCGCAATTGATTAGGGTGGTTAAGACATTCAGCTAGTTAAGTGGAGGTACGGTCCGTAGGTTCGATTCCCGAACGAATCACTTGCGAAATTTTTTTGCAAGCATTTTGGAACGTGCTGAGCATTCAGTTCAGTATAACATCGATTCGTAATACCATAAATGTTTTAAAATAGGTGTACAGTTATTAAATGCTGTCATTTATTGCTAATAAAAATGTAATGGTATAGCCAGACATAAAGTTCTGTATTCGCTTTACCTATCTTCCCATTAAAATATTTATATCGTTATTCAATATACTGAAAACACACACAAAACATTATCTTTGATGTGCATTGGCTAACATTACCTGTATTGGGTTGTTGGGTTGGGTTGTAATAATGTTTTCAGTCAATTGCAGTTTTTAGGACTGTAGTTCGCAAGCTCCTAACACGAGAGAAGAGATTTCTAAGGTGGTCTGAAAAAAATAATGCTGTACAAATTAGAAAAAAACAATTACAATAGATTACTAACCCAGGATAACTAAAACATGGAAAAAAGACGGTATTGGTATTGCATTGTATGCATAAGCGTGGTCCTATCAAGTGGCGGATTCAGAAATGTGAAATAGAGGGGCCAATGGAGGGACTTTTTCTAGGGAAACTTATAATCATGATAGCGGTAGACGATCAGAAATGGCACTCAAACTTAATTTTCTAATACAATTTCTGTTTTTCTATATTCATTTTTTTTTACAATTGTAGGTAGAGATTCGGGTCGGCTCGACTCAATCCCCCTGAATATGCCACTGCTATCCATTATAATTTTAAGTTTTAACCACTGCAGTAATTGTTGATCTTGTGATGACTCAACTAACATTTGAAACGAAAACATATCCCACACAAAACTTATGGTTATATTTATGTGAATTGACCCATTGATATTACCCACTGAATTACCAACTCATATTTTGGCTGGGCATTCCTCCTACAATCATGAAATCTCTGACACTGAATGTAGCATAAATGCATGTAACGTTTGTGATGTACAAACAACTTAGATTTTTAATCAAAGTACTAGAGTAAAAGCAAAGCGTATTGGACGTCAGTACAACAATGACATCCCTGTTCTTTTTATCATCTATTCCCTAGGTATTCAACCCCCGGCCAGCGGGCCAACTTCAGCCTGCCAAGGATTTTGACGTGGCCCGCCCGCGCAACGTTGCTAAAAATAAATCATTTTCTGGCCGGTTTTTAGAAAAAGATTTTATGATTATAGAAACACCAACTAGGTACCCGTACCGCACTCTAGCATTGTTTACAGGAATGAGTGTATCTCACTGTATCTAGTAGCATGTGGTATTGACATGGGGAGGGGAGACTAATGGGGATAGTGGATTAAGTGGGCTGCTGATATGATGCGATGTCTAACCATTTGCATCACCAGCAGGCTCGGGGGCATGTTATTTTGTTGAAAACACTGCTTTGAAAACATATTGTTTGAGTCTGAAAGTGCAATTACCAGGAATCTGGAGGTATAATTATGTTAAACATTTGCTTACCTGAACCACAACCACAGGTGAGTGGATATCTCTGTGGTAGGCAAATTTCTTGTGGCAGGGTAGGGGAACCTGATATGCAAGTGTTTTTTTAATTCTAAAATAAAATTGAGAAGAAAAGAAAATTATATTATATTCATAGTTACGTCTGAGAGTACCATTTCCGACCATCTAGAGGTGGCATAATAATAATTTTGCTTGCCTCAGCCCCAACCACGAAGGGACTGAGGTGGGAAGTTCTTCACTGCCCCCCACCCCTTCTATTTCGAATTCACCGCTTTAAAAGGAAATGGGTGGGGCTGACACAAATTATGTCGGCCCGCCGCTGGTCTCAGCAGATTAGAACTGGCTCCCAGCTTAAAAGGTTGAATACCTGGGATGTATTCTATTGAGAACTCAAAGACATTTGACAACATCGAATCAATCAGTCAGTGTTTTCAACATGGTTATCTCTTAGTAGATGGGAGTGGTGGCGCAACTTGGAGTTGTAGCGATAGGGCTCTATGATTTAGAAGTACAACTTATCTGATAGTCAAAATTTACAATACACATTTATTTTATGTTATTACTATAGAGATGAAAAGTTACACAGCTCAGTGAAAAAGATATGTTTAGCCTTAACAAACATAAACATTATTTTTATTTTATTTTATTTGAATTATTTTATCGTTATTTTTTTTTTCTCAGTTGGCCGATATTATGTACAATTATGCGCTATATAAATATAACATTATTATTATTAAACATGCATAACTGTAAACCAATGCGATGTAGGCCGACAGCCGGACAAAATAAAGTATCCGAACGAGAAAATATTAATTGCTGACCAGATTCACTGTGTTTAGTTACGTCAATAGCTTTTGTGCTTAATTTCTGTGTCATCTCTGTGTCAACAATTAAGTTACAACGTGCAGAGGCCGAAGTTGAAGGAAGTCATTTCCGGGATATCTGTTTAAACGAGCTTTCTTAGCACATCTAATTTTATCTGCTTATGGTGATACCAATCAACATTAACTTCCGTGAGACAAATGAAAATAAAGGGGTGTATTAATACAATCACAAAGTTCTATTACCACTGCAACACTGAGAGTGGGCGTACAAAGGCTAATTGATGGAACACAGTGAATAAATGGGAACAAAAAGAATTTGAGCTTCTATCTCGCTGTGTTTTGTTGTTTGTGTGTGGTTTGTTTCGTTACGTCAATTAGACAGGTCAATATGGTTTAACTCCCAAAAACTCATACAAAAGCTTTTTCAAAGGTTTTTGATACTATTGAATGTTACGTCATACCTTTTGGACTTTGTATATCATTTAACAATACATCTTTGTTTTTGTATTGTATTTGTTGATACACAATGTCTATGAAATTAGGAACTCTAAAATCCTAAAAACAGCTATGGCGATCAGGACGTTTTGTTCAACTTTCTGAAATTGGGAGCTTAACGAATTTGGCTCTCGACCTACAAACCGCTACTACTATCCTCCTCCAGGAGGATAGAGTCATAACCCACTCAGCCCCCACCGTGGTTGTTGATCAGATTTTGAATTTTAAATTAAAAATAAATAAATAAATAAATAAATAAATAGATAAATGGATAATAATAATAATAATAAAAAAAGTAATAATAATAATAATAATAATAATAATAATAATAATAATATGGCATTTTGCTACATTCATTATTACAATTTTTGCAGGTTTTAGCCCCACCCCTCTAAGAGAGACTACGTTTTGTATATTCGGAGTTAGGCCTAGGAACATATTTTAAAAGGATTGTATTACTATATCTAAAATTATAATTGAAGGTATTTATTTGAAATAGATTTGATAGATACGAAGGCACGTCCAGTCATAACTTTATAAATTAGCATAAACCCCCATCTATGATCTATGGGGCATCTCAGCCCCATTGATGGAGGCTGAGGTGAGAACATTTGGAGAATATGGACCTCAAGGTGTCCGGAATGTACGCTCATACTTTTAAAAATCTTACTGGTACTCTATTTTCAATGATGAAAATAATGTATCCACAATACAATACAACTATGATTTTACTTAATTCCATTTAGGGGGGTGCAATCGCAAGATCATAGCCGGCTAGACCCGTTGTTTGTATGGTGATTACATTTCGGCCGGCTTCAAATATAGATTTTATATTAATTGTTATTTTATTTTATACCTTTCTGTAGATTCAACAGTACATGAAAGTAAGAGAAAAATGTTATATTCCTAATGACAATGTTGAATATTTTGTTTGAAATTTACTGTGATAATGTCGGCGGTTAAGGGCAGACAACTTTTAAAATACCTGGAGTATAGTTGCATACAGTATGTGTGCTCTCACCACAAAATAAATCTCGTGGTTAGAGAAATCAAACATTTAGTTTACAGCATATTGAAGAGTTTGATTGATTTGGTTGTTAGCATATGAAGGTAACCAGATTTTGAGAAATTCAACCTTAAAAAACACGTGTACAAATAATAAGACTAGAAGAACAGAATATACATGGGAAACACATAGTAAGAACATACATCTTTATACCTTACACAAAAGAATATCATTATATCTGTAATGATGTCCGCGTCCAAATTATTTCCAGGTGTTTGACTACTGTAATGCTCTATTTAGCTACGATGAGGAGCTCTACAAACACTTGGATGATTGATTAATAGATCCTTTTTGTATGGGCGGCCGTTAGGCCCAATATACTCAACTGCCTCTATATTACATGTCGACTACCACTCCGGCAACTTCACTGGTTGCCAATTAGGTAGAGATTTTGTTTTGCACAGTCTGCATCACATTTTTATTTCAATAAATCTCCAGAACAGTACTATGCTTACATTTTGTTCCCTTATATCTATTATAGCCGTCGGAAGCATTTTGAAAGTAGTCCGGCCATGGGGG